CAGTGTCTTCTGGAGAATATGTTTGGGGTATGAAAAGAAACAGGTTCTGTATCTTGGTTCCTTTCTTGCCCCTTTACTCAGCATTTATGAATTTTTTCCCTCAGCTTTTAAGATTTTTTGCCCTCAGCTTTTATGAATTTTTTTGTGCCTGAGGAGAAATTTCCCATCTGTCAGTTTTCCACTGCCAATTTGGGAACGTGTAACTAAAGTCTTGACTTGGTGGGATGGAAGATGTCTGTGGTGCAGCAGAGAGCAGTGAGAAGTTTGCTTTGGATGCTAATTAAATCCTGTCATGGTGTGGTGGTGCTTCTGAGAGTGAGCAGCTTCCCAATTAACAGACCAAATAAATGAATGGTACATCTGTAGACTTCAATGGAGTGTCTCCTTTAGACATGTATGTTCCTGAGTCAGGGTGGGAACCTCTGAGGGCTGGTGCATTAGTAAACATTCTCCCTGGCCCCAAAAGCAAAAACTTACCTTAGTATCCAGAAGACAAGAAAGTTAAGACACAGGAAGGGCTAGTTGCGCTGGTGAACCCTGGTTGATGTGGGCACCTTCCCCTAGGCTGAGGCATTGCAGTCATTTTCCTTAGTTTCCAGAACAGAATGTTTAGGAATTCCTTTGTTGCAGCTTTGCTACAAAGATAATCTTGTGATGCAGAAAACCTAATAAAAGATGTCATATGGGATATTTTTCTGTATTTTTTTATGTCCAGTAGTATCTGCCTGTGCTTCCATCTTTTATCAATTTATTGGAAGCATTTTTACATGCTTTAAGCTTCTAAAGTAGAGAGACTAACTCCTTCCTCCCTCTGCTTTCAAGAAGTGTTTGACTAAAACAACTTTTGTCGTGGGTGTATCTCCAGTAGTTTATTCCTTACACAACAGAAGGGCCCAAGATGCTGGATTGTTTCTTGTAGTCATTTTGTCATGGCTGCTGGGAATTTTGTTGAAAGAATAGGCATGGATTATAGTCTCTATGCTCCCTGTGGCTGGAGGCTGTATTTGAACTCTGCTCCTAAAATCAAAATATGAAGTCATTCATTTGCAACATTCCTTCTTAGGGCATAGTGTTTTTTCTATAAACTTAATTTTCTTGGAAGGTGTGCCTGTCAGAGGTTTGTCTCATGTGCGTCTTCCCTGAATCATGAAACCTGTTCTACCTTCCTGTATTCACTTTAGGAAATACAAGAAGCAGTAGTAAAGTGAAAGGAATAAATTGCAGGCCTATAGTCTGCATTATTACATTTCTCAAAACATTCAGAATATGTAAATAAAACCTTTTAAATTATTATGAATCCTGAAAATTGAGAAGGAACATGTGACTCTGCCCATGCAAGGGGAAACTGGCATGCTGAGAGCTCCTTGTATGGTGTACGTTCTGTTGGAAGAAATGAAAGTAGAACCCTCTCCCATTTAACTTGGAAGTTGCTCCCTGGATTAGAGTTTGTGACATCAAGGAGGAGAATTAACACACTGTTCTTGCAATAGTACAAATTCTTGTTGTTCAAAATCAAGACCTGGGTCATCTCTGCATCTTCAAACAGCTTTGCAGACTTCCTTTTACAACTGTGAGCAACAATATGAATTGTTGTTCACACGTATGAATTGTTGTTCACACGTATGAATTGTTGTTCACACCTATGAATTGTTGTTCGCAATATGAATTGTTGTTCACCATATGAATTGTTGCCCTTGCAGAGGTGCAAAGCCTTTTGTCCTTTCCCAATTAGCAAGTTGCATCAGCTTTCTACTGAAATTGAGCTTGAAACTTTTGTGTGTGTGCTGGCCATGCTGTGTTCACTCTGGTCATGGTAGAAAAGATACTTGAAACAATCTAGAAATTCACAGATGAGGTTTGGAAACTCCTGTGAAAAATGTTTTGGGTTTTTTTGGTTTAATGTAATATTTAAGCTCATTTTGGAAGTGTGCTGGTTTGGGCTGCAGTAGAGTTAACTTTCTTCACAGTCCTAGTATAGGGCTATGCTTGGGTTTTGTGTTGAACACAGGGTTGATAATGCAGATGTTTTGTTATTGCTGAGCAGAGCTAACACAGAGCCAAGGTCTCTACTGCGTTCCGTACTGCCACACGGGCAAGGAAGTTGAGGATGCATGGGAGATTGGGAGGAGACACAGCTGGGACAGGTGACCCAAACTGACCAAAGGGATATTCCATACCATATGACATCATGCTCAGTATATAAAGTGGGAGAAAGAAGGAGGAAGGGGGGACATCTGGAGTGATGATGTTTGTCTGCCCAAGGAACCGTTATGCGTTAAGGGCCCTGCTCTCCTGGAGATGGCTAAACACCTCCTGTCTGTGGGAAGCAGTGAATGAATTCCTTGTTTTGCTTTGCTTGTGTATGCAGCTTTTGCTTTCTCTATTAAACTGTCTTTATCTCAACCCATGACTGTTTCTACATTTTTTACCCTTCTGATTCTCTCCTCCA